GCGAAGAGACTCTTTTCGGCGAATTCCGAAAAGTCTCTTCGCTGAACGCCTTCTTTTCTTTTATAAAATTTATTAACAGGTATGAACACTGTTATATTTAACAAGACCAGAACACTTACTTAAATATAAGATATTACAGTAAAATAATCAGTTAATCGTGAAAGAATTACAGAAATTTGCTAAAATGAATGTCATTTTCACTTACAATATGTATACACATTTTACTGCATTTTTGAGAAAATTATTTACTGTAAATAAATATAAAAACAAAACGCGACGCCAAGCCACACGATAGCGTTTTGTTTATGTCTGAAAGTTACGCTGAAGCCCAACATGTGAGAAAGGCAATGCATTCTTTATCTGCTGCCCACAGAAAGATAAATATTTGATTACTTTCGGAGAGGATAGACGAAAGTCTGCTTTTATTAATTTTTATAAATACAGGTAAACATACTATTCTGGTGAAAATCGAACGTAAATACAGAAAGAAGAAATGTGAACAGGTATCAACAAAGTATTTACTTTGCAAATAACCGGATTATAAACTGACATTGTACTTTCCACCTATGTCAAAACGTAGAATAGCCTAACAAATCTAAACGATATCATTCGCCTCAGCATATGTGACAATCATTCAAAATACGAATCGCAGTACACTCTAGTAACCTACTGGCTATCCAATTTGTAGGCACAGTGAACTCATTTACATCGGTCCCAACGGTAAGAAAGGCTATAACAATAACACTAAAATGATATACAGATCACCATAGATGAAGTCATGGAAACAACCGGCAATTAATGCAAATCAAGAAGTTACCATATCAAGTACTGACCTCAGTTCTTCACTCAAATGATACTAAAAAGATTCAAAGGTTTTTCGGAAGATAGATTTGATTATGTGTGCACACAAACCAACTATGTTGCGAATTTACAATAAGATAAACAGACGACACACGCTAATTATTTGAAAAAGACAACCAATCATTTATCAACTTTCAGAATACAAAATGAGATATAAAAGCGTGTGCACACACATATATACACAAACAAGGTTAACTGAAGATAGAACACAACGGTAACCACAATTGGTTGGTTATCTGCATAAAGTAAGGAGGAAAACAGATGACCTGAGATACAATAGTAAGCACTTTTCAACCCGTTGAAATTTATTGAGATATTTATTCCAAGCATATTCCACATGCTGAACCGCACAACATTTATCCAGTAAGTTTAACGTTAAATAGCACTACTAGATTTTACTGACAACTATACTAATATTAAAACAAAGTTTGAATCACTTCACACAGGCTTTAGAGAAATGGGATTATTAAAAATGAATATTAGTTCTGAAAGGATAACTAAATAACTGTGATTTCAAGTCCTACACAACTGTCCCATGTCATATATTCACTTATTATTGTTTTGTGTTACGGACCTGAGTGATACGGATGCACTCAACTTTTGCCATCTCCTAATCCTCTACTACCTTCACTAACCTTATTATACGGTGAAAACAACAGTGTGAAATTACAGTGATGGTTACACAGATGAGGATGGATTTCCCACCGATGACATTGGTTGGTGGTCACACTAAATCAAGAATTGGTAGAAATTAGAATTCATGGGCCATTGAATTGGGTCCCAGTGGCTGAATGGTGAATGAGCTTGCCTTGTAACCGGAAGGTCCTGGGTTCGAACCCCAGTGGGTGCGTACTAACGATGATTCCCAAAACTAGGATGAAACAGCTCTCCAGTACTCCCTGGTTTTCAATGGTTCTCTCGCTGATATCAATCCGTGGTCAAACTCGTAAAAAAAATTTAATCCTTACAAACCAATTCTTGAAAAAAATGAGGTGAGATGAAATTTACCAGAAAGAACTTACACAATAAAGCAGTAGACCTTGCAAAAAAAGTATTTTTGACCAATATGGTGATAAGGGTTACTTCTGAGAATTTAGGCTTCACCACTTGAATCTAATCTGTATCATAAATTTCTGAGTGATCCACTCTATACATCAATTGTAAACACAATTAATCAAACATTAACAAGGTCCCATTATTATGACATAAATAGTAGTAATTAAAAATCAAGGCCGCATTTGTTCGTTCAGTTTTCAGGGTAAGTTTAACAGCTACTGATTAAAACAGTCACATCTTTTCAATCAACTCAAAAGATAGATCCACTTTTTTTTACAGTATATGAGAAACAATTCAGCGCGTGACAACTACACAGACAGACAAACTTTTAATTCTAATAAACAAACTTGTCATAGCAAAACACTTAGGGAAAACAAAGGCAATGGTCTCTAAAGTTGATACTAACTCATGACGACCAAAGACTATGAAGGCTCATATTTTGAAGATTCGTAAAAGTGTAATTTAATTGAAAAGTATGAAAAATTCAGTGTATTCATAATATATATATATATATATATATATATGGTTAACCCAATAGATTTATGCAAGTTGCAGAGGAATAATGGTAGTTATGATTCTTAGAAAGAGTATACATGATAAAATTAGGCTGATAGAAGTGACTAGATAAGTTATTTCTCGTGATTTTCACGTGTACTGCAGTAATGCACAAGACCAATGTGATAAACAAACATAATCAATAGTATAGGATTCCTTTTTTTCAATTGTAAACAAAGTGAGTGAGTACGTGCGATTTATCTATTTTTTTTTCGTAAATCATGGAGATCAGTGGACGTGAAAGTTATAATGGGTTAATATTTGATCAACTATTTACAACTATAATTTACAACTAAATGCACCACTAAACAATACAGATTTCGGTTACACAATAGGTTTCGCTTTTCTTAATATGTATAAAAAAAGGTTCAAACAGAGATAAAACTTCAGCCTTCTAATATCTTATACGTAGACCATTTGATGTAACTGCGGTTCAAAATTTAGTTTCTCAATGTCACGGAGTAAGCAAACAAAATCTATGAGGAGATTATGAAGCACAGTCATGCTAATGCTAAAGAACTGGGAAATGTTCGTCTTATAGTAGCTAGGAGAAAATGAAACTTCTCATTTTCAGCAATTATGAATAGTAATCAACTGAAACATTGGTGCACATTGCAATACTGATATTGCAATAAGGTGCAGATAACGAACCTATATATATATATATATATATATATATATATATATATATATATATATATATATATATATATATGTAACAACTGAACATTTACGTTAACACAATTTTTTTGTGAAACGTAGATGATACACTTTTCAGGGACACCTCACTATATAAGACTATCCAGAATAACTTTCCTTCCCAACGAATAGGAAGCAGTCCTAGTGTCAACAAAACCAACGATTGTTGGCGTACACTACATGTAATAGTGAACTATCAACTGAAGGTATAAACAAATGATCGACTTTTACTTTCCTTAACAACCTAGTCCTATTTTACCCTATGGATTTCTTTCTCTGATTGTTGACATAAGTAACTTTGAAAAGAAGATAAACATCATACTTATAAGACACTCTCCACCTGCCAAACATTGTAGTCATTGGAATGATATCGAACTACACAGATAGGGGTGTGAAAGTAATCCGGTGTTTCCCTTTGATAACCAGCAAGCCAGGTATTCTACCTTTCCAGTTTTATGACGAGGTGTTGAAATCCCACTACAGAATGTACTTCCCGACTTATCGTAGGTTGGTCCGTAGCCGGCAGTTTCGTATTCCGTACGGACGAAGTCCCCAGATCTCCACCTCTGAACAGGCCAGTCTCAATCAATAGTGCCCCATTTGCACAAAACCAATGCATTTCTTTTTAATTTACTCCAAGAAGTTATCCACTTCCACAGTGTAAGCAGATCAAACACATACATACACTAACACACGAAGTTCTCTGTTTATCGTCAACTTACTTATTGCACCGACTCCTGGTTTAAGGATAGGTGATAAAATGACTGAATGTGAGTACCATGTCACTTCTTTCATAAACCCTGATGTACTGCTTGCTAACGAAAATTTCTCAAGAATACAAAAGGCTTTTGTGAATTTGCGTTATTTTTGGCACAGCATTTCAGCTGTCCCCCAGACGATGTGCGTACTGTACAACTGTTTACTTTGCCCTTCTTTACAACTGCGAGACATGGTCATTAAAAGTGGGGAGTTATAGAGTGATCAGTGTCACTCGTGGTAGTAACTGCAACGCATTCGATAACAATGAGGTTAAGCTTAGTGTTAGGTAAAAGAGGGAAACAACATTCTAATTTGAAATCTCAGTCAATGCACTAAGGAGGAGAAGTCAATCAATGAGGTTGCTTAGGTGCCTAGAATGTGTTACGCATGCCGAGCCATCGAATTTCTCTACCTACCAATGGAACTAGGCTGGAAAAGGTAAATGGTAGTCGGACCGAAACAAAGCACCATCCCATCAAATCTTTGATCTTTCCGGTTATACCCAGGTGTAGACTGCTTGGCTAAAGTCGTCAAGATGCTATGAATCAGTGACTGTAGACTGATGGTGTGGCTCGAAATCGTTCTCAATGACGCATATACACTCAGCCTTTGTAATCTCTCAAATCCATTAGATCGCCATGCTTTTCCATGTTACTATTCTTTCTCACGTATACTTCTATTCATTATAGTTACCTTTAATTTACTCCCTCTTCTCTACCTTTGTGTGCTACAATGTGTGACGGGTCTGAACTGCTACACATTTGTAGAAACTTCTAGGATGACAAATTAGTTTAAAAATTTATTACTGTTGGCAAATCAATATCACACCGATGCTCTCTGGGAATTAAACTGCTCAGTGGTGGCATCGTTGATCACAGCGTTGAGAGATATTGTGTAGGAATCTTACACGAGCTTCTTAAAGAACGATAATACACTTTTTATTGAATACTGAAAGAAATAAACACTCCTCAAACTTTCTGGCTACCACTAATTATTTAACATCAAGGAAAATTTCCTTTCGCATTTAGTTTTATAATCAAAATCGCGAAATCTAAACATCAGAAACTCACTCATGTGTGTAAAAAGGAGCATTTCGATCGCCACTTTTAGAGATACCCGCAGTATTCGGAGGAGTACTTGAGCTCATTAGTGAGTCACTACTGAATGAGAATACGCCAGCAGATTCATCTTCATCACAGTGTACTGTTTTGTCCGTTTCGTTTGAATCAATTGGATCCAGAAGGCTAACCGATTCAGAAATACTTGTGGCCTCGATGGCAATCTCCACACCTGATTTACTCTGTTGCTTCAACTCATCACTGTAGGTTGTATATGAAGTAGGGTCTTTGCCATTTGTCTACATGATTTTAAAAATAGCAACAAAGAAAAACTAAAAATAATGAAATAATACACCACCGGTTGCCGAGTGAAGTCAGCTGTAATATAATAATGAACAACAGTAGCAAATGAAAACTATTACAGATTTACACCACCATTTGCAGAAAAAGGAGGGAATTCAGAACACAATGAAGATGATTTTCTCGTACTAGCTAAATTTACTAGCTTAAATGAACTAAAATAACTGATTTTCTACAAACTGTTTGACCATTCTGTTACAGAGAGTAGCAAAAATGGTATGAAAACTTTTCAGTTACATAAAGATGTATGAAGTAAGAAGCAAGGAGAGGCTAATGAAATGTGTTACAAAATGACATAATATAAGTCAGTTGTTGTTTTTGCTAGACCACGTAAATTTACAAAGCATTCTCATCACCTTAGAAAGTAGAACATAAGTATTTAAGTGGTATTTAAGTGCAACCAAAACAACAACTGGGATTACATCGCTTTCATTATAATAAACGCTAAACTTGAGCTCCCTTACGTGTTTTCCAGACTAACTCCGTGTAAAAATCCAACGAACAAATAGGCTGACAAAAAATGCAAAAATATGTTCGGATGAAGAAATTCGTAAAAGTAAGTTCAGATAGACAACGTAAGTGTAACTGAGAGTAAATCCAAAAAAAGAAGAATGGTTCAGTAATTCATATATTAAAGCCAAATGGTAAATATACTAATGATAACGTTAATGATTATGATTAGCGATTTAAATTTCTCCATTCCCATACAAAAGACACTTGTCTATAATCTATAGATTTTTACTAGATGAAGTGACAATGTTTAGACATTTAATTTATACATAAAAACAGGCTTAACATTTAGACACCATTAAAAAGCTATGGATTTTAGAGTCTCATTAACAGCTAACTTGAAAGTAAACCTGATCATCGGTCTCAACTAACACTGATGTTGAGAATAACTTTGAAACAATTAGCCTGAGTGAAATAATAAGGTTTACACACAACTGAGTAGTCCACTTAGTGAAACTAGAGAGACAAAGGGTTAGCTGGTATTAAAGGTGCGAAGAATTGAGAAGCTGTAAAGCATTTGTTATGACAACTGAAAAAAGTAGTGGATAAGATCCCAATGGGGAGATATAAATGCTAAATTGGGAAGAGAATTCATCATGGATCGAGAGGATTCCAGGAAAATGAGTGGTAACGGAGATCTCTCCGCAAACTTATGCGCATTCAGTGATTTTAAAATCGGAAGCAGTGTGCACAACCATAAAGATATACACAAGGCAATATGGATTTCACCTGATGGACACACCAGAAACCAGATAGACTTCATCTCAATCTTAAGAAAGTGGTGACGCAACCCACAGGACACAAAATAGAGAAGAGACAGATGTAGGCTGAGGCCACTATCTAGTTCAAGGAACCTTTAAGGTCAAGCTGAAATCCTTCAGAACAACTGGAAACAGGCCACAATTCAAGTTCGACATTCAGAAACAGAAGGACAAAACTACAAGGGATAACTTCACCACAGATATCGGCGGAAAGTCGGAGACACTACGCGGTATCACCGAAGAAACATGCGTGGAAGAACATTGAAACTCTCTGAATGCAATGTTCAAGGGAAAGTGTACAACCGTTCAAGGAAGAAAGAAAAGAAATGGATTCCAACTGACACCACTTGGAAACTAATAGAAGAGAGGAGGATGAAACAGAAGATGAACCAATGCAAAGATGGACAACAGAAGGAGAAGCTGAGTTCAATGTCAAACGCACAGAATAAAGAAGCGAAGAAGAGTAGTAGGAGAGATGAAAGACAATTTTACGACACGTCAACTCAAGCGGAACAGGTCGCAGGCAAAAGACATTAGGACACTACATCAGATAACCAGGTCTCTATCCGGGGAGAGATCAAAACAAATAAAACCAATTAATGAGGAATTTCCCCTGCCCCTGAAGCACTGAAAACGAACCGAGAGACTGCGGCACTTGCCCACGCCATTATTGCAAAAAGTTTGGAAGGAGGGAAAGGTACCTTGTCAAGCTGCCAAAGAAGGGCGACTTACGCCTCTAAAAGAACTAGCGTGGAATCACACTTGTCGACGCCCAGAAAAATATCAAGCTGCATCATCATGAAGGAATTGAAAGATGCTCTGGATTCAGAAATCCACCCAAACAAGCTGGATTCCGGAAAAGCAAATCACATGCTGATCAAATCACAACAATACGAATCATCATCATAATCAAATCTCTACCTCAACTTCATCGAATTTGAAAAGACTTTCGACAGCGTTTACCGCGAATTGATATGAGGACTTCCCCGATGCTAAGAATTGCCTCAAACCCTTACCACTCTCATTCAACAACTATATGACAATGCTACAGGTTGTGTTCCACAACGGAAAACTCAGTTTGGAAATCTTTTGCACTCATTATATCAAGAACAAAATTCGGATTTTCAACATAAATGTGAAGTCAGTTAGTGCTTCTATGTGGGCCAGAAACTTGACGCGTTACGAGAAGTATTTCTAACAATCAGGTGCACACTTTCATCAACAGCTACCTTTGCCAGTCCTATAGTGAAGATCAGATGGATGGTGGAAAGAATTAACAACGATAAACTCTGGAAAGGAACAAACCAAGAACCTATTACTCAACACATATTCCGAATAAAATGAAGATGAATCGCACACACACTAAAGAGATCATCGAATAACATCGCACGACAGGCCATCTATCGAGTGGAACTGAATGGGAGACGAGTTGGGCGTCTGGCGGTAATATGCAGGGGATGAAGGCCTATAAGCAGTAGTGGAACCAGATAAAGAAGACTGCAGAGAATAGGACAAAACTGAGATCTACTGCCGAATACCTACATCCCAATCGAAACCCGAGGAGATAATTATACGGACATATACTTATGTATATATTATTGAGATAAATTTTAACAGTGTAGATTCATCTGTCTTTTGTCTTATTATTTGTAATTAACCTTTAGGCACAATCTGCGAATCAGCCAATTTACGCTTTTTTGAATGAATACCAAACCACAGTCATTTGAAAGAGGTCATCAGTGTGTTGATATAGCTATGTAACAATTGATACAATCACTATTGCACGCACAATTAGGAAACAAACTGTACTTGGAAACTTATAACCTCAAAGAAAAGTTTGCAACTTAGTATTTACCTCATTGGACTGTCGAGAACCCATACTAATATTCCGCATTGCTTCATCCAGGCCACTAATATCATCATCCTTGTCAGTGTAGAACTTTATTGTCCCGACAGAATCCCAATCATGTTTGGTTGAACTACTACGAGGACTTAAGCCAGGAAGTTTAAGCGGCTTCTTCGAATTTCTAAAGTTTGATGAATGATAAAAAACAGTTCTATAAGATAGGTAGGCTTAAGTCAGTTCAAAATTTCATGTTTTTTTCTTAATATCTGTAGTTTGCCTAGTACACTTTGAAACACCCGAATAAGCTGGAATACTATCTGACTGGCTATGTTTTGAGTAACTTGACAGTCACACAACAGTTGTATGTCGAGTTAAAAGTATGGGAAGTGAAGCTCATTTATCCGTTGCTTCGACCTCAGTCTGAGATAAGAACTCTCAATTGCTTTCTTGACATTTCAACTAAAGAAGTATATTATCTGAATCTGTCCTATTCTTGTAAATGTTATTTTCACAGCGAAAATTATTTAATTGTTGAAGTCACTAACTGCAAAGACTTTAGGTATTAAATACCCTATTTTTTACAACCAGCACATGACAAATACTTAATCTGCTTCGTAAATTCACTTTGCAGGCAATTTATTCCGCTTTCGCTGGATTATGAAACATAGTAAACTCGTGAGTAGAGGATTTTAGACTTTGCATCAACAGAAAGAAGAAATCTCCACAGCACATTACTACCCCTAGCAACATACAAAGAAGTCATCAGGAAGAACAACTAACGATGAGAATTCTTGTAACTATCGTTTAACTCAGAAAACGATATTATTCCAGGTAGAAAATCTTCATAGCTATATTAATGTACCCCATCATATCAAGTACTAAAACTATTTTTATCGATACTCCGCTATTATACTACAGTACTCACATGTTAGCTTTGTTTACGTGATCATACATGCTTTGAACTGCAAAAACACGACCGACAGTGCATCACAATTTGGCTTCAAATGGTTCCTGAGTTAAATTAGTGGATATCTATAAGATAGTAAACCCAACTAGATTGATGTATCCACTTACGGTGAAACGGACCGCCTCATCACTCAGTGGCGCATCAGAGAAATGTGGCGCTGCCTGAAGGCATTTCAAGAACACGCATGTTGAATTTTACATAGGCTACTAAATTAGAGGCTGGGTACTATACGTATCATTTATAAGTAAAAAATCACTTTTTCTGATATTCCATTAAGCCATGGGTTTTAGTAATCAATTACTCTTCAGACTTCATTTCCAGTCATTGTGTTAATTTTTTCACTTTGTTTCTTCTCGTCGTCCCTTCGCTGTGAGTGTAACTCACGGCCTAAACTTTTTGATTTTCAGTCAATGGTGGTGTTATCTTCAATGGATGTATTTGGCTAACCACGCCAAACTTTGTCTCGTTCCCAGGTTTACTATAGGCAAGTAAACTAAGCGACGTTAAGGAGTACGTTGGCCGGAAATCGACCGAAAATTACCAAAGCCGTTGTCAACGATTAAAAACCCAAGCTACCGCCCCATTGAGATAGGAAGAGTGAAATGTATCAGTGTCTATGAAATGAAAACTAATTCGGCTAGGAAAACGATGATGTGGAATGCTGACTGCTAACTACTCCCATTCAAAATTACGAGTGCGTGGGGTTAGTGTGAAAGGCTGGAAGCAAAACAAAGCTCACCCTTACTCTCTGTATAATTTTTACCGCTTTTTATTGCTTATAACCACATTCCATAGTTGAAACTGAGACAGTCATCTTGCCGTGAGGTGAATGCATCGCTTATATTGGTAGTAATTACAAAATAATGATTACCGGCGTGGCCACACAAGGTTGGCCATTGGTTGGTGAACTACTAGTGTTATAGTGTGATGACTAAGGTTGAAATGAAAATGTGGGCCGTGATACTATAAAAGCAAGTCACTCAGGTTTCATTTTCGTTCGCCATTTCTCTCCAGCATGTTTTACCTCTCACAAAATAAAGATAAACATCAATGAATGAGAGAAAATTGGATTTACTGTGACTGAATTAGTTCCTATCCAGCCTGTGAATGCTTCAGCGTGAGTTTCGTTTCAGTGGACGTGCATGCGACATGGAAGGCACTTCCTTTTGTGATGGTGATACGGGTAACTTTGATTAAAGAGAAAACGACAAATGTGCCACTATAATCTGAACTCTTTTTTTGTGGACTCTTCTCAACTGCATACAATCTGAACAATACCTAAATTACAGATTAAATTAAACATATCAACATACTTTTTTTACGACAATAAGAAGTGATTGATTGGGACTATTATTAACACTGGTCAGGAATGATGTATTTTGTTGAATGATTAAGAGTGATAAGGATCGACTGGTTATAGAAGAATCGTATGGCGGAACTAGGGAAAAAAAGGACCGAATTCAACAAAGGTTTTCCGAGTAGAAAGAAAGTTTAACTAGGAGGAGTATATAAAAGGGGTAGGCTATGTAACCACACAAAAACACGTTCTCATTAAGTAGGCGAAACGGGTGGTGGAGGAGTCATGATTAGAAAAAATTAAGGTTTCTTAACAAGACAGTAGAGGATGTAATAAAATTTGTGTTCTTTGTTATCACTAAGATGTTGCAGAATTCATCACTATCTCCTTCTGCGAACACAGATTTGCTTTTAGCCATTCGATGGCGACTGCTTCAGCAAAACTGTTCGGGCCAGGTTTGTTTCGTCCGTTGACCATTTTGAAAGCCTTTAGATTATCCACAGCATGGCCAGTGTCTAGTAGATGGAGTGCAGTCGCCTTGCTTAATGCTTCTAGCTGCTTTATTCATGGAGATCGTCAGAGTTCGTTGTTGAGCACACCCTTCAGAAAGTCTCCTTAATTTCTTCCATGGGAGACTTCGTAATTGTCGTATTTACATTTGTCATAGCTTAAAGCGCATTTTCGAACATCTACGCTGTTATTTTATATATTTTATTAATACCGGCAGCAGTTAAGATAAATTACTGAACAGTTAGCTAATCGGGGGACTTGCATTAAGTAAGTTTGCTATCGTTTAATATCAGCAACAAGACTATTCTCTTACACCCGTATGGATGCCTACAGAGACGCAATGGAAACACTTTGATATGCAATATATTTTCAGTTAACATTGTGACTTCTAGATATTGGTTAACATCCATCTGAGATATCTTCCTTCTGAGCAGGGGAAAGCAACAAAAACGTACCCTTTTTCTCTGGCTAGTAACCCTCTGACAACTGCAGTGATAAATATTCCAGAATACATGAGAAATAATGAAAGCTCATGTATTTTGAATTTTCCAGCAATCTAGTATTTACGAATAAGGAGGTGATTGTCAAATTATTGAGTACATATTGTTTCGTGACAAAAAACTAACTTTAGATGGCTGCAGTTCAAACTAGACATCTCATCTTTGTAACTTAATGCAGACTCACATCTACGTGGAAATATAAGTAATTCAAAAGTTCTAATTAGGCGTTCGTTAAAACGTCCACTGACGATATGCTTAATACTATAAATAAATAAAATGTAGAGAATCCGTCTTATAGCAATCATGAAGCACATTTGACGAAAGAAATGTCTTTCAAATCCCGACCTCCCGGTCTCTAGTCTACGCTCGTTGACTATTTAGATGTTTGAGCCGGAACCCAGTGATCCGTGAATTGCACATCAATTCACTATATAACACTACCCCGATAACTGAAGGTCCCTGGTTTGACTGGGTGTGATGAAATGCGTGTACATCGCTGAAGGTTCCTAAACTAAGATGAAATAGCTGTTCAGTGCTCCCTGGTTTTAAAAAATTACTAAGTGATGTTAGTTCGTGTAAAAAATTAATTCTCGAATTAATCCAAATGCCTATGAAACCACCTAATATGTGTATTTTATATATGCAAATATGTACGTTTATAACCTCAAGACCATGTTCTGGTATTTCAGTAGGGAATTACTAGGGTAAAGTGCGGCAAACTGTTTGAAATTTAAAAGGGGTTTTGTCGGTTTTTCTACAAGCTTGCAAGTTCGTTGGAATATTCTGCGTTTGTCAAAAGCGTTATACTGAATCACACCTGATATATCCACGCTGTCCGCAGAGAGAAGAAATGTAGTACACTTTGTTACAACGCATCAAGGCAGCAGCAAGGTGGGAAAACAGTGATATCACAATGGGCCTAAACAAACCGATACACCTATTTTAACTCATATTAACGATGGTGACTGCAGGAATATCAACTGCAAGTGTCATTCATTGTAAAATAAATGTAGAAAGATGTATTATTACATCAACAATGATCAACAACAAGTAATTTGCAAATCATGCGTCGTCTGAAAACACAACTAGAATATAGGTAATGCTTACTATACACTAATACAATTTATATAAACATTTATATATGCATAAAACATCAATGTTCTTTTGATGTTCACATATTTTCTCCTTCTGGTATTCTGCTGCTGAGCCTACTCTTCTATTTACCTTCTGGTCGAGGTCGAACAACCCCACATTTAAACTGAAATGAATCTGGACTGCAGACCATTTAACTCTTAACCACTCTAATTCCATGAACATTCCCGTGCTACCACTTGAAGACGCTGGCCAACATTCTGTACAAGGAGTATTCATGATCTGAAATAAAGAAGCAACTAGTTTTCAAACAGTTTTCAATGTCTTTCTCAACTTACGTGTCATGCTGACACAAATGGCGCCAATGGATAGTTCTGGAATCGACCTCGGCCCCATTTGATGCAGTAATACAATCCAGCATGCACTAATTTAGTTTTCGTATCCACGATCAAATTTCTTTCCTATTATGAAATTACGATAAGACTGCTTAAAAAAATGGAAGAAATATACCACTGATCTCAACATAATACATCAATGAACATTAAGCCAAGGATGCTGTTCATAATAAAGTTATATAGGAGAATTGACTTCAAGCTTTATTTTTCCCAGATATTTGTATTACATACATCTGATGTCTGGGTTTTTGTTAATGCGAAGACAATATTTCTATATCTCTTTATGTGTTACACACAGACTATTTTGCAGACTGTTCCGACTGACTCTAATGTCAGAAAGAACAAACAGACTGTAAATTCAACATACATCGAAACATGTGTAATTTATATGATAACTTATCCATGCCTGTACAATTGGTATGTTCCTGAATAAACAGGAATAAATTTATATATAGTTGTTGATGTGTCTAAAGGGCCCTTGAAGTGTTATCCTTCATTTCAAAGATAGACTTGCAGCCCCAGGACAACCGGCTTTTATATTCTCTTTCGATGTAGATATATACTTCATGCAATTCTCGCTTGACATAACTGAAACATCAACGTAATTTATTGGCAAATTGTAAAATACATCCAGAATTTATTGTCCCGTGACCGTCGATAGATTCTTTTGATTCGAATCTTGTAGACATGGCCAGTGTGTTTCTTACAGATTCACTAAAGTGTATCTCATGCAAACGCTGTTGGTGACAACTCAAAAACGTTGTAAAATGGTGACTGGTACATACTGCTTTGCATGGCTTTCCGGTAGCTTTTGATGCATGAACTGTGAATGTTGATTCATGTCTTAGTAGCCTTAACACCTTTTTTCTCACTGCCGTACTCGCATAACTATAAATATAAGCTATAAATATACATCAATTGAAGGAACTACCTGGTTTGCATGATAATGTAGGTGCCTTGTTGTAACTTGGGAGTAGGAGTACATTTGTTAGCAGAAGAGTGGAATGTTTATGCCAGAACTCGATTAGATACTTACTATTTCCCTAATGTCTTGAGTAGATTTGTTCTCAGAATGCGTTGTCAAATTGTCATAGTCAAGTGAATAAGATAAAGGAATGAATGGAAAACAGACGGTTAGTAGGATAAAAGGAACTTTGATTGTGTTGAAATATAACTATAATGAGCAAGTTGGAATAACTGGAGGGTAATATTATCTACTGGTATTGTCCACGTTATGTAAAAGCCTCATCTTCTGTCATTTTATCATTTTGTGAGGACTTCATATTTCTCATGATATCCGTGTAACCTACCTTCATGATAGACAGCTATTTGACAGGTGGATTCTATCAGT